AAACTTAAAAAGTGAAATAAATAATGTGATCCAACATACTACCCAGAAAAGTTTGCATGGTAATTTTAAGCCAGAAAAGTAAGTTATATATATATATATATATATATATATATATATATATATATACACATACAGTATAATGTAAGCAAGACATATCAGAAAATGTATCTGGATCCCTGGATAATAGATTATATTTCATTCAAACATTAACTATAATAAGTTTTGGTTTGTTCAGATCTATAGTCACCATCATTCTACCAGGGGTTGTGATTATTTCCTCTTCTAATTTGCAACAACCATTTACTTGTGAACCTTAAGCAAGGTTTGATTAAGTTTCCTGGCCTAGGCTAAACCTTGTTTTTTGCTTGAGTTCAGCAAGCAAAAGAGGCCATCTCTTGCTAAGGTCTCCTCTTCACCATCTATTGAAATAACTATTATACCACTTTAAACAGTCATGACTTCCCACAAGGAATCCTGGTCAATGTAGTTTCTTAAGAAGCAAACTACAGGTCCCATGATTTTTTTGGGGGGAGGGGGGCATGGCTGCTAAAGTGGTATACAGTGGTACCTTGGGTTAAGAACTTAATTCATTCCGGAGGTCCATTCTTAACCTGAAACTGTTCTTAACCTGAAGCACCACTTTAGCTAATGGAGCCTCCTGCCGCCACTGCGCCGCTGCTGCACGATTTCTGTTCTCATCCTGAAGCAAAGTTCTTAACCCGAGGGAATATTTCTGGGTTAGCGGAGTCTGTAACCTGAAGTGTCTGTAACCTGAAGCATCTGTAACCTGAGGTACCACTGTAATTGCAATGTTTTATCTGGCCATTTCTTTACTTTTTATTTGTATTACTTGCAGTAATAGTAAAAATAAATAAAAATCCCATTGTTATTGCCAAGTGATCTCAAAGTGGATCACAACAATAAAACAAAAACACATATAGACTATGTTTTAGGCCAGAGGCCTTAGAATGTGGGTTGAATGATAATGAAATATAAAATACACAAGAAGCAAGAAAACCAGGTATTATGAGACAGCAGACTAAACATTCCTTCCATTACATTTTTCTCCTAATTTATTTGTTGTAAGCTGCTTGGTCCTGCCAACCTAGCAGTTCGAAAGCATGTCAAAGTGCAAGTAGATAAATAGGTACCACTCCGGCGGAAAGGTAAACGGCGTTTCCGTGCACTGCTCTGGTTTGCCAGAAGCGGCTTAGTCATGCTGGCCACATGACCCGGAAGCTGTACGCTGGCTTCCTCGGCCAATAAAGCGAGATGAGCGCCGCAACCCCAGAGTCGGCCATGACTGGACCTAATGGTCAGGGGTCCCTTTACCTTTACCTAAGCTGCTTGGACCCTTTTCTGGGGTGCAAAAATCACTTATAGGTATATATGGACCACATGACTATCTGTTGCAGGACAACAGAGTACTGTATTCAATGGACCTTTGTGATCAGGGCAGTGCTTAGAGTATGAAAGTGTGAAACACTATGTCGAAACATAGTGTTAAAATATGGGTGGAGAAACGGTCAGTTTGTCCAATGATCAGGGATGATGTGACTTGTAGTCCAACAACTTCTGGAAGGAACAAGACAGGCTCCCTATCCCTGGATTAAAAGAGAAAGAAAGCAAAAAACAGCTGAGGATTTTGCTAAAAAGGCCAAATTAGCAAGTTATGAGAATAATAAAAAAGGTAAAAGGCAAATCTATGACATCACAACACTATACAATACAGAATCATACAAAATAATTTCAACATAATTGTAACAATAACAATAAAGAGTGCAACAATTTTCTACATGTTAAAAGAGAGACTTCGCAAATTCACTAAATACATCCACTTACCAGCAGCCATCAGAGACTGCTTAGCCAGAGAGGTACCTTGGTACTTAATCGAACCAAAAAAAATTACTAGGATATGATGGGCCAACAGACTCTCTCCTTTGCAAAAGTATTATAAAGGACTTCCATTTCAGGTTTTACTTTTATTCCCTTCCCTTTACTGCAGAAGCCAGTCGCCTCTGCCCCAATTTAGGAGGGAGGTTCAGAGCCCTGGCAAATGGAAGTCCCACCAGGTATAGAGGCATTTCTTAGTAACCGTGGGAGGAAAAGTGACTTTGAGACTGAGGCGGCACCCCCTGCCACTCCGATTCTTTTGCACACATTTAGAGAGGCTGGAGACACATGCTTTGGTCTCCACAGGCAGCTGCTGCAGTTCAGCTGCTTCACTTCACCCTCTCTTCCTGATCCCTCAAGTCCCCCCTTTCCTCTTCTTTTCCTCCTCCCACCAGCGCAGAGCTTGTGAAGCATGCGGGGAATCAAAAGGTTTTCTTGAATTCTCTGCAAATGCTGAAATGTCAGGCTTGGCAGTGGCTCATTTAGTTCTCCCCCCACCTTCCGAGTTGACAGCACAAAGAACAGGCAGAAAGACTGATGCTGAATCTTGATCAAGCCGAGGGTCACTCCTTCTTCGCTTGTTCTCGCAAAGCTCACTTGAACTCTCTCACTGCCTCTTGCTAACTTGAAAGGGAACTGTGTTGACACTGCTAGATTGGAACTCATGAAATGGACTCATCCCTGCAAGACACACAACAGTATCTAAAGCAGGGATGGAGAAGTTGTAGTCCTCCAGATGTTGTTGAACTCCAACTCCCTTCATCCCTAGCCATTAGCCAGGCTCACTGGGGCTGACGGGTGTTGGAATCCAACAATATCTGGAGGGCCCAGATTCCCATCCATGAACTGGCCCATTTCTGCAAGATGCAGAGCAATAACTGAGGTGTGGATAATGAGCCTTTCACCTCTGAGATGCTGCTACACCAGTGTGGTGCAGTGGTTAAGAGCGGTAGACTCGTAATCTGGTGAACCAGGTTCGCGTCTCCGCTCCTCCACATGCAGCTGCTGGGTGACCTTGGGCTAGTCACACTTCTCTGACGTCTCTCAGCCCCACTCACCTCACTGAGTGTTTGTTGTGGGGAAGGAAGGGAAAGGAGATTGTTAGCCGCTTTGAGACTCCTTTGGGTAGTGATAAAGCGGGATATCAAATCCAAACTCCTCCTTCTCCTCCTCTTCTTCTCTCTTTGGTCATGTTAGCTGTGGCTGATGATGGTTGGGGCAGAAGCAAAAGTGGGTGAAGCAACAAATGTAATTCGTATCTTTACCCTATCTTTAACCTATTCTCTATCCAAGACAAGCAAATAACACTTGGAATGTGAATCAGTGCTAGTGAGGAGGTGTGGGCTGGGGAGAGTTCTCAAGTCCAGCTTGAGAGGTCTGGAAGCTCTGTTCATCTGCCAGGGCCTGAGGCTCCCCAACCCTATTCTAAACTAAGTTGCCAGATCAGTTTCAAAGGCAGACCCACATGCAATACATTGTAGCATTCCAAAACACCCACCCAAGCATGCTCCATCCCAAGATCCAGGCACCTTAAAATCAGGAACAGATTGTGAGTCCGCTGGGGTCATCAGGAAAAGATCCCTGCTGGTGTTCTGCCTCATCTCTCACAGTCTCTCTCTGTCTATATTTGTCCTAATCTCTCTCTCTCTGAGCTGCTCCATTCTGGTAACACACTAACATGTATTAAGATTCCATTTGAGAGCCACAGAATGAATACCTATTACCTGGTTTTTGGAGTTAGGTTCCCCTACATTTCAAATGCTTGATTAATACACTCTGAAGTGGCCAAATGACTCATTGTCATTAATCATATTCTTCTGCTGCTTCATTACCTGAAATCATTAGAGCTGGAGTTGGGCTGTGAGGTGCAATTGCCTGCATTTTAATGCTTGTCATCATAAACTTAAGGTAACAAAGAGCTGCTGTCTCCAGTAGGCTGGGGGGGGGGGAAATTAAGTGGAAGCTCACACATACATTTTGCTTACTTGAGTGTACCCAGCTTTCCACTAGTTCCAGTAATTGGCACTTCTTGGTAGATTAACCACTTTCTTCCTCTTCCAAAGAATCAGTACTAAGGATGCAAATAGCCCAAGGCAAGAGAATGACTCTTCGACAAATAAATATTTGTGCATTCATTATGAATGACAAATGGAATAACCACACCCATTATTCATTTCTCATTTGTTCCTATGGGAATGAATGGGGGAAACAAATAAAAATCCTTTTTGTTTCAATTCTCCCAATCTACTGGGAGGGATTCCAGAAACTGACAAGAAGCATTGTGTTGCATTGTGTTGCTTAGCAAATTGATGCAAACTGATCCATTCGGGGAACGTTCTGTAGAGGGGGAGAGATTTTAGAGTGTCATGGGAACGGTCCAATCAAAAGTATAATGCAACAGGCATCTCCAATAAATGTTCCACCTTCAAATTGCTTATAAAATGGAGACCTTTATGTCAGGAAGTTGGCTGATCTGATGCCCTAGGAGCACAGGACATGAAAAAATCATGTCCTTTGTATGGAAAGCCCCAAATGTACAAGTATCAAAGGACTTTAAGAAATGGGGGGGGGGTGTCAGGGAAAAAAAATCAAGAGCATGTCTCTGTATTTTATATCTTGAGAGGTGCCAGCACAAATGCCAGCAGTCGTTCTGCTACTGACTTACTTATTGTTAAAAATATTTTCATCACCTGTTGTGAAACAGCCCACACCTTTCTTGCATATGCAACAAAGGCATTTGCCACACTACCAGAATGATCCCATTCTGAAATTCATTTTCGATTCTGAAGACTGTTGCTCCACCTTCAAATTTACCGAAAATGATCAAGTCGTGATACATGTTTTTTTCCAAGGAAGACAGGTGTACATCTTATCTGTTAGTTTTTTATAGCTAAAGTGAACCTTTATACCTGGGATGGGAATCCTCTGGCCCTCCACATATGGTTGGATTCCTAACTTAGGGAGGAAGAGGGCTGGGCACAGGCACATCGGATTGGCTCTGCCACCATGCAGTATTCATTCATTTGAAGCATTTCATAGAATCAGTTGTGGAGTTGGAAGGGAGCACGAGGGTCATCTAGTTCAACCCCCGCCATACAGAGAACTTTTGCCCAATGTGGGGCTTGAACCTGCGACTCTGATATTAAGAGTCTCATGCTCTACCAACCGAGCTATCCTAGGTTTTATCCTAGGATTTATATCCCACTCTTCAGTCAGAAAGGCTCCCAGTAACTCCTAACAAACCAGTAACTGCCAAGTAAAAGGTAAAGGTACCCCTGCCCGTACGGGCCAGTCTTGACAGACTCTAGGGTTGTGCGCTCATCTCACTCTAGAGGCCAGGAGCCAGCGCTGTCCGCAGACACTTCCGGGTCACGTGGCCAGCGTGACGAAGCTGCTCTGGCTAACCGGCACCAGAGCAGCACACGGAAACACCGTTTACCTTCCTGCTATAAAGCGGTACCTATTTATCTACTTGCACTTAAGGGTGCTTTCGAACTGCTAGGTGGGCAGGAGCTGGGACCGAACGATGGGAGCTCACTCCGCCGCGGGGATTCGAACTGCCGACGATGCAATCGGCAAATCCTAGGCGCTGAGGTTTTACCCACAGCGCCACCCACGTCCCCTAAACTGCCAACTACTACAATCTAAAATGTTCCAACCCAAAAAGAAAAATGGAAGGAAAGATTAAATCAAGCGAACTTATGTTACTAGGTTCTCATATTAACCTATTGCTGGAAGTTCTAATAGCAAGCCTTGTTGAGCCCTTGAGAAATAGCTTGAAGATCCTACTTTCCCTGAGGTGTCCGCAACAGGAAGTTGTTGGTCTTACAGGGTGGGGCCTTAGCCTTCTGTGGCCTAACTGGAAGTTTCTGGCTTCTCTTTGCTCCTGTTCCAGCAAGCAACTATGCCAAGCTCCCCATAGCTCTTCGCCTCAGTGGCTGTGACCCATGGGTGTTGGGAAGTTGGGAGAACAACAGAACCCCATTTGCACTACCCCACTGGCCACTGCTAAAGAGAACTCAACTGACCTTTGGTCTGATCCGCAGAGCTCTTTTGATCATCTTTAGGGTCCAGTATCACAAAGGACTTCAGAAATCCAGCAGGTTTTATGAACAGCTAGACATGTTTGAGTTTATCTGCTTTAGTTACAACAACTTTTTAAATGTAAATGTCGAGGACTAAGAACTGAATGTCAGAAACAGTTCCATCAGGTGTCAAAATAATATACTGCATTTCTGCATCAGCAAAAGCAGATGGAAAAGCACAGCATAAGCATAATTCCCAGTGAAGTTTTCTGGAAAAGTATTAAGAACAATAGAAAAGACCTTATTGAGTATGAAATTCATTTAGATCCTACTGTACTCCTTTTGGGATATTTCAAGAATGCAGCCAGATAGTGGGTGGGGGTAAAATCACTATTCCTAAGCAGGGACCTATTAGGAAAGCCATTAATCACCACTCATATTTTACATCAAAAATACTGGAAACAAAAGCAGCCCGACACAATGGAAAAATGAACAAGTAGACTTCTGATTGCATATTGAATATTATCCTAAATTCTAGAAGTGACTGGGAAAGGCCTCGAAACATAAGAGCATTACTTTGTAAATACGATGTCCTTTTATTTTAACTATTGAAACAGGAGAACATCAGATAGAGTCTGGATAGGATTTGTTCACTAGGCACTTTGAGGATAAAGTTGTTTGCTCCTGCAATACACCTGATGTAATGGTTGACACAGCTCTGAGTGAGGTTTCCAGTGCTCCATCAAGCCTTGCTTTATGGGGGCCGAAATATTGGGAAATTTTGGAACAAGAAGGAGACAAATTGAAATTGCAGAGTTTCGAGAAACTAAAAAATAAAGTGAGAGATTGGCTTCATTATTACCAGATAATGGAGGCATATAATCTGGATAAGAAAATTGGCTTCCAGGTGGAAAAATCAAAATTAGAAACAGAACTGTTAGAACCCAAAACTAAAAATTTGTCAAGAATGTATAACTTGCTGTTGAAATGGAATACTCAGGATGAAATGGTGAAATCTGCTATGATTAAATGGGCACAAGATGTTGGACACAATATTATGTTTGCTGACTGGGAACAGTTATGGACCATAGGTATGAAGTTTACGGCATGTAATGCCTTAAGAGAGAATATTATGAAAATGATATACAGGTGGTACATGACCCCAGTCAAGCTTGCAAAAATCTATCATTTGCCCGATAATAAATGTTGGAAATGTAAAGAAACTGAAGGTACATTCTTTCACCTTTGGTGGATGTGCCCAAGGATTAAGGCTTTCTGGGAGATGATTTATAATGAAATAAAAAAGGTATTTAAATATACCTTTCTGAAGAAACCAGAGGCCTTCCTTCTGGGCATTGTCGGCCAATTGGTGCCAAAGAAGGACAGAACTTTTTTTATGTATGCTACAACAGCAGCAAGAATACTCATTGCAAAGTATTGGAAGGCACAAGATTTACCCACTCTGGAAGAATGGCAGATGAAGGTGATTGACTACATGGAATTGGCGGAAATGACTGGCAGAATCCGAGACCAGGGAGAAGAGTCAGTGAAAGAAGACTGGAAGAAATTTAAAGACTATTTACAGAAATATTGTAAAATTAAGGAATCTTAGAAGGATGTTGGATAGAAACTAAGTGGTTTCCAGCTGTAATGCTTTAAGAGATACGAAAAAGGCTTATAAATGGGTAAAAGCTTAATGGTAAGGATTTGCTGAACTAACAAATTGAACTGGAATACAAAAAAGGGAGGTACGAGGAGGTCCGGGGAAATAAGTGTAAGGAAGATAGGCTATGGAAAATTAATGTGTTTTTAACTGTTTTATTTTGTATGTTTCTCTTTATTTTTTACTTTTTTGTTATATCTTAAAAACTTTATATTTTTTTCTGTATTTTGTATTTTCATGTATTTTTTGAAACTTTAATAAATAACATTTTTTTTTAAAAAAAGCCTTGCTTTATGGGGTCCATTTCAGTTATTGCAACCAAATGATATGGGACAAGGTGTGTGCCCAACCACATGTACCCTTGGGCATTGCCCTGATGGCTGATTATGCCTGGGTGGTCCAGAGTGTGATGAATGCATCTTTAAAGGAGAGGTGTTGGTTGCTAACTCAGAGGTGTGTAGTCCTGAAGAAACTACCCCAGATTCAATTGTAGTAAGAACTGCTGCCGAGTGGCAGATTCTCCCTTTGGGCACTAGGTACTCAAGAAGGTCATGGCAATGTAGTTGCAGGCATTCTTGGAGCAAACTTATTATCTAGACCTGTGTTTAGTACCAAATTGCCCTTGGTTGCCTTAATGGATAACCTCTATCAAGAAAGAGACAGGAAAGGTGTAACCCTGTTGCTTCTGGTTTATCTCTCATCAACTTTTGTTATCTGTTTTGTGTTGGTGGTGTTGTTGTTGTTGTTGCTGCTGCTGCTGCTGCTGCTGCTGCGTTTTTGTATATCCTGCTGGAAGCTGCCTAGAGTGGATGGGGCAACCCAGTCAGATGGGTGGGGTACAAAAATGTTGAGAACAGAAGAAGGGAAAGCTCAGGAGAGGAGCCACTGTTTGTAGGTGAGCCCATTGGCCCAATGGACCACATGAAAGAGCTCCCCACCCAGTTTCCTTGGAAGGAAGACTCTCAAGACTTCACCCTTCATCAGATGGGACAAATCTGTCCCCAACTAAAGGAATGGCATCATCATAACCACTTTGCTGCTACCAGCCAAATTAAAACAGCTGCTGCTTGTGTGCATGCTTGTGCACATACAGAGACACTCGTCTTGTGGAAAGTTGTTTTCATCCCACAGCCCAGCAGGTGGGTATGACTCACATTCCAGATAATGGGAGCTGCCAACTGTTCATTGTCCTCCATCAACAACGAGGCCACATGAAAATATTACTATTTTAAATAATAACAATAAGTATAAAGTGAAATCATTTTGCATAATGAAAACCGTCAGAGTGAATCACAACCAACATGTTTGGTATGAGCTACGAGCAAGAAGCGATTCAAGAGTGATGAAGTCTTTGGCGAAGGAAAAAATCCCATAGATGTGGCTATTGAATCTCTGATGCTAAGAGAAAAAGAGGGTCTGCGTCAGAGGTAGGCAGAATTTTTCTTTATTTGTTGATGTTGGTATTATCATAGGGGAAATCTTTTTGGGGTCACATGCTGATAGTGGACAGAATCAGAGCTGATGACTGATAGAGCCAGAGACATTCTGGATTAGCCCATCTAGAATAATGACTACCCTGCAGTTTTCAATCCAGCTATCTCAGTCCCCATTTGCACTACGATACCACATTAGCAATCATGGCTTCCCCCAAATAATTCTGGGAATTGTAAGTTGTTAAGCATGCTGAGTATTGTTAGGAGACCTCTATTCTCTTACAATTCCAAACTATTATTATTAGAGCAACTAGCCTCACTACAGAATTTATTTCAACAAGCTAGTGGGTTTGTTTTTTGTTTTTAAAAATGCACACCTAAAATCAGCAACAAAAACTAAATCAAGTCAGATTTCTACGCCATACATAATTTTATACTCCTCTAATTAGGTCCCTCCTTTAGTCACCAACTCAAAGCCCGTGTGTGCTAGTTTAGGGAGAATCATGGTCCAGCTGGACTCAGAGAGCTGAAGGGTCATGGGACAGGGTGGACACCTGCAGACCTAACTACACCATGACTTCATCATGTTGAGTCCATAGCTATATTTGCACGTGGTGCAGACAAGGAGTTGGGGAGTGCAGTTTTTGAGTGCTAACAGTCTCACCAGGAGCCTTCAGCAAAAAGATAGCCTTCAGTCCTCTGGCTTCAAAAATGGGGGAACATGAGAAACTGTTGTTGTCTGGACATGCCAGAAATAAGCATTGGAGGGAGCTGCTGTACGTTGGAATTCAGACCATCTGCAAAAATACATGCTGAATCCAAGGGGACCTGGAGTTGGCGATCAGCATATTTGCTCTATCAGTTCCACAACAGCCAATTAGGTGCCCTGGGGAAGAGTGTGTTTTGCTTGTTCCAATGCCAGATGAGGATGCAGATCCAGCTGCAGTCACGGCAGGAAGCTCATTTGAGGAGTCCCTGGTGCCAGCTGATTTAGAAGAACCTGCAGCCACCAGCATTTTCGGAAGCTGCTGAGAATTATTTAAACAGACTCTGGGGCTCC